GCCGGCCGGGTCACATCCGATGCAACTGCCAAGAATTCATAGCCCTCCAGAATTCTATGAGGAAGAAGCCAGAGGAGCGACCGGGAAATGGGTCGCGTCAGTAAGTACCGGGCCCCTTGCTGATGGGCATGCTTCTTCGCCCGAACCACACAGTCCCCACCGAGTCGTGATCCTGATTGCTGCAATTGATTGGATCCGGACGAATATGGGGGACGAAACTGCTGATCACCCTGTGTTGGTGGAGGGTAAAGTCAACGGGGTGTTATTAAAGATCTTCGTTGATGGAGGCGCGAGTCACACTCTCATACAACTGGCTAGGGTTAAAAAATTGGATATACCCTTACTCAAGTGTCTACGTGAAATCGACGCCCGACTGGTGGACACAACACCGCTGGCAATACGGGAACGAGTGGAGAACATTGGTTTTACCTATGGGGAACAAGTAAATTTTCAGATGGGACTACTGGCGACTACTCTCGACGGATGCGACATGCTGCTTGGACGTGATTGGTTGCGACGGTACAACCCAAAGATTGACTGGACGACGGGGTGCTGCAGCATCAAGCTCGATATATTTCCCGAGAGCTGCCCAAGTGGACGGGGCCTCGCATGCAAAGCACCCAAGTCCATGCGATCACCTTCAACCGCGCGATGAAGGCTGGAGCTACAACGTACACCGTTGATCTTCGCGAGGTGACATCGACGATCGAGACCGAAGATATCGAGAAGCTATGCAAGGCCATCCCTCCAGACTTAGCAGACCTGATTCGGAAATACCCCGAGATTTTCCCCGCCGATCTCTCAGCTGGATTCCCGCCAAGACAATCCGAGGACCACTGAATCGAACTGGAACCAGGCGCCCAAATGACGGTATAATGCCAATTTCAGCTTAGCCAACCAGATTTGGAAGAATTACAGCAGAAGCTGGATTACCTTCACACGAAAGGATTTATCCGGCCCAGCACGTCACCATACGCCACCCCGAGACTATTCACGCCGAAAAAGGATGGAGGATTCAGAATGTGTATCGACTACCGCGCGCTCAACCGGATCACCATCAAGTCGCATTACCCGATCCCGCGAGCCGACGAACTTCTTGACCAGAATCGCGGCGCCAAGCTTTTCTCAAAAATTGATTTGCGAGGAGGTTACCATCAGATTCACGTTGCCGGTGAAGATTGTCACAAGACGGCATTTCGAACCCGCTACAGCAGCTACGAGTACCTGGTGATGCCTTTTGGCCTCACGAACGCGCCCTCGACCTTCCAAATGATCATGAATGGAATTTTCAGGGAACTCTTGGACAAATGCGTCATTGTGTACCTCGATGACATACTAATCTACAGGCGCAGCAGGGAGTAGCACTTACAGTACAAGATCTTGATGCATTCTTCACGCTGCTGCACAAGAATTGCCTCATCACCAAAGGGCATAAGTTCGACTTTTTAAAACTGGAGTTGGAATTTCTGGGCCACATCATCTCTACCGAAGGAGTGAAAATCAACCTCAAGAAAATCAAGACCATATAGGAATGAAAGCCGCCAAGCAACATCAAGGAGCTGCAGAGTTTTTTGGGATTCGTCAATTACGTCCACCGGTTTATCCCCAATATGCCTGGGTTATCTGGCCCACTGACTGACCGACTCAAGGATCACGATTGTTTTTGGTGGGGAGAGAAGTAGCAAGCTGCATTAGACCAACTGAAGTTCGCCCGCACGTCGTCGCCCTTCCTTCGCATCTCCGATCCTGACCGTCCATACGAAGTCATCACCGATGCTAGCGACATCGCCATCGGTACATTTCTTCTACAAGATTTCGGTGACGGATTAGCCGGTCGCCTACGAATCACGGAAGCTGCACACGACAAATTATACAGCACACGACAAGGAAATGTTGGCAATTGTCCACGCGTTCAAGACCTGGTGGTGCTACCTGACAGCTGCTGACGTCATTGTGCGAACCGACCACAAATCCCTCCAGTACCTACGAGCCCAACCGAACCTCAATCCGTGACAGATCCGATGGCTCCATTTCCTCGAGTCAAATTTCCACTACACCATCACGTAGAAATGGGGCGCCAATAACATTGCTGATGCCCTGACCCGAACCACTGCCCATACGGCCGCCATACTAGTCGCTTAGACCAGCCCACTCCTTACCAGACTATTTACCCACGGCTACAAGATCGACCCATTCTTCCGCTCCCCCATTCACCAACAGCATACTACCGTTACCGGACATAATTTCAATAAACGCGACACTTCCGGCATCTGGGTTCCCGGCTATGATTTACTTCGTACCCTCGTTATTCAGGAATCCCACGGCAATCCTACCTCCGGGCATTTCCGAGTTGACAAAACCTTGTAGAGTACGTGTTCTCCAGCATGCCGGAGTTGCAGCACAATTTGTATAGGCCGAACATGGCCAACGATGTGGGCAAGTACGTGTCCTCCGGCACCGCCTGCCAGATCATGAAATCATTTCATCAGCGAGCAGCCGGACTGCCCTACTATTCATCGCCAACGTCATCAGACTGCACGGACTGCCCAACTCCATTATTTCAGACCGAGACCCAAAATTCAAATCGAATTTATGGTGCCACCTGTGGGACCAATTTGGCACCAAACTACAGTTTTCCTCCGCCTACCACGCACAGACTGATGGGCAGACTGAAAGAGTCAACCAAACTATGGAGCAACTCATTCAGACTACCTACACCGACCCACAAACATGGGAGAAATCCCTTACGCTGCTGGAATTCGCGTATAATAATGTGCCTTCCGCAATAACCCATCAATCCCCATTTTTCCTCAATTACAGACACGACCGAGTGGTACCCTCTACACCCAACATCGAGACACCTGTGCCCCGGTCCCAACGATTTGCCGAAGACATCCTCGCATCCCGAGAAAAAACAGGTGAGGCAATCCGGAAAGCCAACCTGGTCGCAAGCCGACAAGCCAATCGTCATCGACGTAACGTCACTAACAAAGTGGGAGATCTTGTACTACTTGACACTCGCAATTTGCGTCTGCTGATCCCAAGCAAACTCCGACCCCGATTCTGTGGCCCCTTTCAAGTGACCAATATGGTGACACCTGTCACCGCTCACCTCTTACCACCGGCGGATAGGCGTCACCACCTGGCTTTCCACGTCAGCCTATTACGGCCTTATGTCCCCAGTTCGTCACCGCATCGTACCACAGCGGTGAGCTGCTGGCGAGCGGCTGCGAGCTGGCAGCGGTGGTCGCGAGCTGGCAGCAGTAAGCCAGCAACGAGCTGGCGGGGGCAGCAAGGCACGGGCGGCGAGCTGTCGCGGCAGCTAGAGGGCAGCGAGCTGGTGTGGCAGCGGCTAGCTGGCGGCGACAAGGCCCTTGCAGTGAGCGCGCAGCGGGCTAGCAGCAAGGCGCAGGTAGCGAGCTGGCGACGAGGAGCAGGGCAGCGCAAAGGCAGGGCAACAGCCTAGGGGTAGGGTGCACGCAAGGGCACTAGCTAGGGGAGGAGACTAGGTCCTAACCTAGTCCAAGGGAGGTAAGTGAGGGTGGTCGAGGAGCACCTAGGGGCGGAAGAGCGGCGACTAGGAGCTAACCTAGCGTGATACCATATCGCGAGAAAAAAATGACTACAGGGAGGTGGGAAATAGAGATATGCACAAGTGCTGTATCCTATACTTACTGCCTCTAGCTAGGCTACAGTGTTTATATATATACATATATTCATAACATAAATATATATGAACGCTTACACCTTCGGCCCATCTAGCGAGAACCCCCTTGAACCAACCACCTGTGGTACAGGCAGGCCCCTAGATACCAGCCATTTTATACAGTTTCAGCCTTTTTTCAGCCTTTTTTTTGTACCTATGCTGAACTCTAAGTCTTTTTGAGATAGGCAAGGCTGAAAAATTCAGCCATTTTTTATAGTGATGTTTGATGATTTCTGCATTTTTGGTGGGGTGTAGGCTGATGTTTCAGCGAAGTCTCAGGGGGGGAGTCTGAAACTGAGTACAGTGAGATTTGCGCCCCCCCGTGATTACCACATCCTACACAGACCCCTAGTTTTTTCCGCAGTCCTTGAAAACCAGTCACACCCCTCTCGTATCCTCGGCAACCAGGTTTTGTCCCAAGTCCTAAATAACCAGTCACACCCTTCTCATACCCTAGGTAGCCAAGATTTTGTTGAAGTACTCGAAAATCAGTGGCACCTCACTCATACCCTCGACAGCCCGTAAGAATCTGATTGAAGTCCTCGGAAACCAGTCACTCACATCCCTCTCGTAACCCCCGCAACCCAGGAGAATTCGTTCAAGTCCCTAGAAACCAGTCACACCCCTATCATATCCCCTGCAACTAGTAAGGGCGTGGTGCTTTGGGTTGGGTTAGGGCCGTAAGTTCGAACGTTCAAAGGGTTTTTACGCCGTTTTGTGTGCTTTAGTACGTTTTGCTACGGCTCAGTACCAGGGCCTCAGATTCGTTTTGGGGCACGCTGATTGCTCAGGATCCCCTCTTCGTAGCTCCCTGTTTTTCAGGCCTCGCAAAAAAAGTTCGCTGATCAATCAGGGTGTTGTAAAATTTTTGCACTGAATAAACAGGGTCAACTACAGAAAACACGCTGTTTAAATACATTCCCAGTATTTGTCACAGGTTCCTGATTACAGTCTTGGCCGGTCACAGTCAAGTTGGCCAGATTAACGGGAAGGGTGGGGGGGGAATTTGGAAATCACGGGTGGGGGGGTTGGGGCTTGAACTCCGCTATTACATATAGTATTAGGGTCGGTCCCCAATACGACGCTGGAAAAATAGGCCTCACTACACTAGTCACGCTGATCGATCAAAGTTCACTTCTAAAAAAACGCTGAAAGTTCAGGCTCGTGTTTAAAAAAAACCATGTCTCATCAGGGTCACCCCCCAAAAAAACTATGTTTTTACCTTGAATCATGGTAAAAGACCTGCAATCTGAGGCCCTGCTCAGTACGGTTGTCGTTCAAACTTTGCCATTTTCTGGTAAAAGCACCGTGCCCTAACACCCCTCAAACTTCCCCCCGACCAGCCCTGAATAGCGTATGAAAACCAAAATTGTCACAACTGGCAGGAAACCACATCATTAGTTGTAACTCTGATGGAGTGGAACTAGGCCGGAGGGAAGGTACGGAGCAGGGTTCGACAAATTACTTGGCGGCGCTGAAACTTCTAGTTGAGGCGGTTGAGCTCCGCCAGGAGGTCGGCGAGGAAGAAAAGGCAGAAGTGAAACTTATACCCTCTTGCCACCTCGTAAGTGACCGTGTCGTACTCGTGCAGTAGCAGGACAGCGGCAGGAAGATTTGCCACCAGACGGAGGATTGCTTCACCACGGGAGAGCCATCTGATGGCAAAAATGCTCTGCATCTCAAGGAAGGTCTTCAGCAGAATCTCCTGAAGTCCGTGAAACCGGTCGTGCCAGATAGAAGAGCGCCCAAGAGTCTCGGCCAGCATGCAGATGACTTCATCAATTATGTCGAAGTCGCGGAACTTGTTGGCGGCATCCTTCGCTGCCATCGCTTCCCTGCACAATAACACCGCACATAAGAAAAACAGGGTAATAATCAGGATAAATAAGCAGGGTAATGATTGGAATAACCGATGCCATACACACAATCCCCACCTATGGGTGATGCAGTGGCTCGCAACGAGGTGCGGGATCAACTATCGAAGGCGGGTGACAAGTCCTCCACGCTCTCCACGCACGACGCTGGCCCCGTCCGTGCTGATGCCCGAGATCTTGGACATGTCGACTTCTGTTGATTCGAAATGGGTCTGCAAGACAGCTAACAAGGACGCCGCATCACACTTGTGAACTGTCAATAATACTGAAACTCAGTGACCACTCTCCCTTTCTTCACAAAGGTGATGTAAACATTTGTTAGGATTAAGGACGGAGTCTAGGTGAACTTAGGAGCTAGAATTACTCAAAATATAAATCCGAAATTCTTGACAGAAAAGTCGTCTTCACAAGAAACGACGTCGACGAAAACCTAGCCGTTGGAATGTCGCGAAACTTGGATATGTTGTAGCTCTTAATCTCAGCTACCGTTCCAAATTTGAATCATGTTGATTGATGAAGTATTCGCGACGCTATGGCTTTCGACGCACTAGGGGGTAAGCTGTAGGAGGAGAACTTAACTCAATCTCAAGAGTTCAATCAAAATTCAAGAATCTCACAAGGAATTAGAAGGAGCAAGAGAAAGGTTGGGATAGAAAGAGAGGGATGAGAGGGAAGGTCCCAAGAGAGTCCCCAACCAAGGAAACCCCATAAGCACAAAGATTCCCTCCCTATAGGAACCTCAACTTTGACCTTTGTCCCTTCCCAACCAATCCATCCAAGTTGGCCACCCTTGCCAACCTAGCTTGGTTGTTCCCAACCTATTTGCAGCTGTTACAGTAGAGTGACAAGTTTCCCCAACCCCAAAGGTCCCAACTCCATATAAAGTCACCCCACAACTTCACTTTGTAACCGCCGCAATTGTAACGCAAGCTCATGAACTTTGAATCTTCATAGCTTTCGCGTTCTTGCTCCGATTGAAGCGATTCTTGTTGCGTCGGAAAGATCTTCTCAAGATCTATCATCACAAATACCTGCTCAGACAGAATAACACAAAACACATTCCCAAACTCCAGAACACACCACACAAATTCTTTCACACACAGTCAAACCATACATACGAATTGAAACAAGAGATGAGAGGCAGACAGAATGTGATAGCATATGATGACATCACACAACAACATTAAGATGCTTCCCTTGCCGTCGGTCGGTACTCTCATCGACGCTTATGCCGATAAAGGGACTCTTGTTGATGTGCTCTAGCTGCTTCTCTCAAAGAAAGGTCGCTGTTGGTTCGGTCAACTCGCAAAATCCGTACCTGCACACAAAAAATAGGGAAGGTTCTGTGCTCATAACAAAGAATCTTTAAATCGAGCTTCATGTTTTCAAATATTCACTCACTCTGTGAAGTATGACCCAAAGGTAGGCTCGCCAAGGTCTAGTGTTCCCTGAGACGCCATGAAATTCACAAGCGCCACAAACATCAGGATAGGTGCGTCAATCCTGCAGATAAATAGCATGGCCATCAACAGGCGAATGAGGCGCCTCCCCTCGACGTGCGTTTCTGCTTCGTCTCTGCCTTTACTTTCGCCACCAACTTCTTCACAGCAGCCTGGTACTTCTTCGTGCGCTGGTACTTTCGCATAGACTGGACTTGAACGTTGACACCACCTTGACCGCCCTTGCCGTACTTGCAGGTCTCTGTCCGATGTGCGATGCAGGTACTGCACTTGATTGAAGGCCGGCTAGCGTCGGTCTTGGTAAGGAAGAGCCACGGGAACTTCTTCACCCACTCGGTATTGTACTTATGCTTCAGCTCTGTCCATCTTGCCGCGACGACAGTGAGCGGCTCAGCGGCTTCAGCGGCCTCCTCGTCATCCTCTGCATCATCGTCCTCTTCGGGCGGTTCTTCGGTGGTAGCGGAGGTGGGCGTAGCACGAGGAGCGACACGCGGCGTAGCTCGATGTGCATCACGCGAGGCACTGGGCAGAGGTTTCTTCCACCATGGCAGTGATGCCTGGCAGTACTTCCTCTTTCCAGAGGTGGAGCTACGCTGAGTCTCGAGGAAGACGGCAGTGACCTTGGAGGGAGACTCGGACGGTGGCGGTTGGGAAGGCGTGGAGGAGCGACTTAGAGACTCTGGGGGGGAGGCGAGTGGCATGGGCCATGGAGATGGCTCGGAAACGAAAGGCGATGGCTCGGGGACGACAGGCAATGGCTCGGGGACGACAGGCGATGGCTCAGGAACTACAGGCGAACAAACTGCAGGAGAAGCAGCACTAGGGCGTGACGGTCCAGCCTTAGCTCTAAGCATATGACCACGCAACAAATCTAAGCCTTGCATGGGAGGGGGATGATGGCTCGACTCGACAGGCATATCGTTGACGTCGGGCTCAGCATCGTCCTCACCCATGGTTAAGAAACTGGGTGTGGGGAAAAGCACAACTAGTCATGACAAATGAACATGAAGACTCTCTAATGAAGAAAGACTTGGTTCTTGCCATCATGAACCATGAGTGGCGGGCCTGCAAGAAACGGGAGGAAGAGAAGCTTGAAGAATGCAATGCATGCACTGCAGCATGTCGGGAGGGTAGCTTAGTCCAGGTGCGGTGGAGCAGAGCTGTGCTGTTGCTCATACGTGGAACGATGACGTCGATACGCGCATGGGGCGGGCTTCTACACCACTAGCTGCTATGTCATCCGCCGTAGAGGTTGTGAGTGGTCAACTTGGCAAAAATTGTGCTAGAGTGACGGAAACAAGTGTCCGTTAATAGTGCAAGGGTGCACACTTGACCGTGCTATGTTACCCTAAGTTTCGCGGCATATACGCTAGTTTTCGCCACTCTGCTCGTAATTTTACCCTACAACGTTACGACGAAGACGATCCGTGATAAGACTGAGGCAATTGAATCATGGCATCTTTGGCCACACCTCAGCGTGGCTAGTCTCAGAGATAACATTCAGTAAGAGATCGTTCACAATACTCTTGTATACGCTCAAATCCTTCGCAAATTTCCCAGTGCTCACCCCCTTATGCAAAAGCGTGAGTCCAGGAAGAGTGCGAGAAGATCCCTGTAAAGGTTTTCACTAACCTCATAGATAATATGCCTAGGAGGGTGCAGGTGGTGATCAAGGCCAAGTGTTGGTGGACTAGGTACTAGAAACGCTGCACGAAATGTTGCTCTTTGTCCTTGGAAATAATTGTTCAAATGTACTCTCTATATATGTTTTGGCACTAAGTTAGATCCAGTGTATTATCATGGATTTTTGTGCTGTGAACACATCCACAATGTGCCCCTCCCAAAGCGTACCACCATTAAATATTAAGACTTTATGTACAGTGGTCGGAAAGCCCAAAAACCCTAACTAATGCAAAACATCCGGACAATTGTTTCCGTCATTGGAAGTGCCCCGTCACTGCTGCTGTATGTGCGTCATAATTTGCCTAGGAAAGTTTAGGAAGGCCACGTGTGGGGACAACGCAAAGTGGTCTGTCGCGAATGATGTGTGGCAGCGTGAAACATGGGATATTCGGAGGGGAACACTCACGCACGTGTATGTCGCTGATTCAGAGAAACTCAAAACACCTGTCTTAAAAACGGAGAACCTAGTACACCTTGTATGAAATTTTCAGAGAAATCTTAAAAATTGTCTAGGGCAATCAGAGTTTTTCAGAAAGGTTGTCTACAAAATCAGAGAAAGACCTAAAACCACTCTGAAAATCAGGCAATCAGGAAAAAAAACAAAACAAAAAACAAAAAAAACAAAACAAAAAAACCTGATAGTTAGGACCTTGCTTCATTTATCCAGAGTACATCAGGTAACCAGGTTTATCCTATCCAAAGGGAATAGTCCCTTCTAGAAATAGAATCACACTGCGTATAGCCATGCGAGGCTATTAGCTTTAAGGGATTACGACTGGATTACGCTAGATATAGCGCGCCAGTATATCCCGAGCCTGGTCGGTGATATAATTATGATAGCACATATGTTGACAGGCCCTTGTCAGCTTGTTCCAACATTCCCCTTCATTCTTGAAGGTATGTTGACTATGGCTTTGTAATGACTCCAGCGGTGTCCATGCGGTATTGGAACTTCTCACTTGGCTGTTTCTTTGTCAGGAAGTCAGCTGTTATCTCTCCTGCTGGATAGTAGGTGAGGTTTACCTTGCCCTTGTCAATTTCTTCTCTCACAAAAAAGTATCGCTGAGCGATGTGCTTTGTGTGATTAGCGAAGCAGGAGTTGTTGGCAATCTTGATTGCTGATTGGTTGTCGTAGTGTAACGTGAAGGACTGCAAGATTATTTTTGCCTCTTGGAGAAGTTCCTGCAAGTAGAGAACAGCTGTGGTTGCAGTGAGCTTCAACTTCTGCAAATGAGAGAGCAATCAGCTCCCGCTCCTGTGAGCTCTACGAGATGGGACCTATAGTGTCTAGCTAGAATAGAAATCCAGTTCTGGAGCGGTGATTCTCAGCAATGCCTGCATGGTCAGCGTTGGCGTAGCTGACGAGGTTGAAGGTAGGAGTAGTTTTTATGGAGTAGGTTAGGCAGAGGTCAGATGTTAAGATGAGGTATTGTAGTGCTCAACGTAGATCTACTGTAGCATATTCTTTCCCTTCAGGTCGGCAGAGAAATAGAGCGAGTTGAATGGCGGCGTAGGAATAGTCTAGGCGGCAGGTGTCGCCTGCAAAGAGAAGGCAAGCAAGCTGCTGTTGGTGGACCTGATGATCGGCGGCGCTGAGGACGGTAGTGTTGCGGATATAGTCCTTGTTGAGGTTGCGGTAGGGCGTGGAGACCATGCCGGGGTGTTAATTGCACATAATCATGAGTGCATATCATCCTAATGTCCTGCCGTATGATCATCTTATTCGTGCATGCATGTGTGCATGAGCATATATCACATTGCTCGCCATCTTGGATATTTTCATCATCATGATTTTCTCCCAAGATTGAATGCATGAAAAATGCAGGAGAAAGCGTGAGCATTCCAACGACCCCAAGATCGCCCCAATCCGACCGATGATGCCGAAGTTACAAGAATTCCAAGATTGGAAGTTCTAATGACAAATGCTATACCTCGGGTATCTCATGGGTCTTCTTATAATGGGGATCTTGTGGTTAGATGGTTGGGGAGAAAACTTTGACTTTTGGTTGGGGTGGCTTGGTTGCTACAAGCCAAAATGTGCAAGTGTTGCAAATGTTGCAACATCTTGCCAAATCCAATCTCTTTGGATTTGGCATGTGTCCTCACATGGGCAACTTGGAGAGGGGCCTATGGTGTGCTTCTAGGAAGGTTTGAAACCATTCCTAGACATCAGGAAACCTTGTTTCCCTTCCAGGGCCCTCTTAGAGGTCTGAACCCCGAACCATGTCTATATGGTTGTGTGTCTTGCAAGTTCTATCTACTTTCTAAGGCAACGACCAGCAGTTACGTTTTGATTCAGTTCTCACTCTAGAGTTAATCTTTTCACCTGATTTAAATTTCAGATGACTCTAGACTTATAGGCGCGTCCTTCCACCGAGCAGATTGGCGTTTGGTTGAGTTGAGGTTCTGCTTAATTCGTGCAAAGTAGGCCGATCCTAACAACATGGGGGCGATGTTGAAACGCTGTGAGAGCGTCTTAGCATACTTCGTGGTGGAGAGATGAATGGCTTCGGTAGAGTAGGAGATGTTCAGCCCAAGGAATTGTTGTACCTGGGGTGAGACGGTCACCTCGAGATGGCTATGGATGTTCTCCTCAAAGCATTCGAGAAGGTAGCCATTCCTCCCGGTATAGAGGT